CCTCTTACACATGCTTGTCCTCAGCTGGTAAGGGTAAGGGTTTTAAGGGTTACAAAGGCAAGGGCGGCCTCAGACCACTTCGTGTTGGCCCTCGTGATAAAGGGAGGCTCATCTACGTTGGCAACGTACAACAGATTACCATCGTATGACTCTCAGTAGTACCCTCCTACTCAGTTACCTTGGAGGACAGCCTGGCAAGATCTTAAAGATCTTTTCCGTGAATGCGGTGAAGTTATACGTGTCGATATCGCCGAAGGTTGGGACGGCCGTTCTAGAGGCTTCGCCACTGTTCTCTTCGAGGATGAAGAGAGCACTACCAAGGCCATCGGTGAGCCACCTCCACCATACACTTTTTCTGTTATGGATACTTCTCCTTTCAGAGAAGTATAATGAGTACGACTTTGAAGGGCGCAAGCTACTCGTGCGCGAAGACAAGTTCGTTCAATAATACCTTTTTTGAGCTGTCTTCCGCCGAATGATAATGATAGTAATGATGTGACTGGTAGTTATTTTTTGCGGTCTTCCCTTCTTCACTGCGAGAGGTTAATGAAGCTGATGATCGTTCTTGAGTTCGATATGACGACAGTGATGATATTGGTGAGTGTATACCTAGTAGGTATTACCTACCACTAGGGTCTGAGGGAACACCTACTCTTCTGAATTTCTAGTTGGTCAGTGGTGGGGGGGCGGAAGTTTGAGCTTTTCCATCCTATCATATCATCATATACTCACCTCGCGTGATTGTCTTATGAGCAATACAGTAGGGACGGAACGTCCGCTGGGTAGCCGTAGATACCCGATTGCGTACCAATCAGGGTCCGAATTGACTAAATAACCCAACCAAAATCCTCATTGGTTCATGACGAGAAATCCGTCAATGCTACAACATACACAACCAACAACACGCAACTTGATGATGATGGCTTGTGCTCACAAGCTTTACCACTCTGATACGGCAGTAACCTGTCACGATGCACCCCCGAGCCGAGACTCTTTCGAAACAGCGCAGTTCCTGTTTGAGTCTCCTCTGTCCGTTTCCGCTTAGCCGATT